CTGTGCGCAGCAGGCATAGCGCTTCTACTTCTGCCAGCGTTGAGCGGATACTTGCCTTCATGCCGCCTGCCCGTATCGGACGCCGCCAACCGCTGCGAACACCGTGCCGTACTATCTGAGAGGGAAGTGAATGTAAATCCCACCAGAAATTCAAAAGGACAGCGCGTACGTGATTTTCGCGTTCGTCTGGGAAATTTAAAGACTGAGTTTTATTTTTCATGAAAGCCGGAATGGGATCCACTGAATGAATATACCAAACCTGGTCAGATCTGACAAAAAAAAGCAGACAAGAGCTTTCAAGTGGGGCCAGCGTTGAGCTGCCTTGGTTTTTTCGAAGTGGTCCAAAGAAAGGGCGCATAGTTTCCGACACCGCACAGAGTATCAGTCTCTGGCCGCCGCGCTCAAGAGGGGCAAAGCGCCTTGATTCAGGCGCGTGTGTGAAAATGCAGTATAGTCATCTTTTCTCTGAATGCTGCCACATGACTTGTGCCTAATGGCCAGATTGACTTATTGTTCCCGAAAGCATTGCGAAGGGTTCTTCCGGAAAATCCTTTGAACACTGACACTTCGCCACTTACACTTCACCACTTACACTTCGACGCTCACACTTACACACACACACACTGGAAGAGCGAAAGCATCCAAGTGCGAAGTACGCCAGTGTGAAAGTCTGCAAGTGTAAGCCCAATAGACCAGGTTAGACAAAAAATTGTCTAATAGACAACTTTCTTAAAATTTGTCTATTAGATAAATTTTTGTGATTTGTCTTAGACAACTTTATGTGACGAAAAGTTCTCTAATAGACAAAACAAAAGTTGTCTAATAGACAAAAATCTGCTGTCTTAGACAAATTTTCGCGGCTGCAAACGAGGAAATTTCAAGGAAATTTCCTCGAAACTACCTCGTCTGTTTTTCAAAACTTCCTTCAAACTTCCTTTCTTTTTGTGGCAGTTTGGAGGTAGTTTGATGGAAGTTTGTAGGCAGTTTCAACCTGCAAGTGTGGAAGTTTGTCATGCACATGGACTGAAACTGCAATAATATGCAAATATTGTAACATAAACTTCCTCATGCCTATGATGAAACTGCAAGTAAACTTCCTCAGTGCCTGTGGTAGTTTTGAGGAAGTTTTGATTTGTCTGAGACAAAAAAATTGTCTCAGACACAGCCAAAAATAGTCTAAGACTGTTTCTTCAAAATAGACTTAGACAAATTTTGAAAAGTTGTCTTAGCCAAAAATCATGTTGTCTTAGGCAACAAAAAAGTTATCTAATAGACAATTTTTTTACAAAATAGATCTTAGACAAAAAATAGTCTAACCTGGTCTATTGGGAGGATGGAATGACTATGCAAGCATGCAATGAGTAGGCAAGTGTGAGCATGGAAAACTATGCAAGCATGCAATGAGTAGGCAAGTGTGAGCATGGACAACTAGCACGGGAGATGTCCTAATGAAAAAGCATTTCCCCACTTTATAAATTCTCTCTTAAAGGCGGAGGGTGGGACGAACAGCGTCAACCGAAAATGCAACCCTCTGCGGAGATCGTGCGTGTCGAGTGCGTGAAACGCAGGCCAGAGCGCGATTCGTCAGGTGCGCGCGCGACCCTCTGCGGAGATCGTGCGTGTCGAGCACGCGAAATGCAGGCGAGAGTGCGAAGTGTAGTACAACTTTAGTACGCGGAGTGGCTGTGGAGCTGGAAGCCGACAACTGGCGAGTTTCTAGTACAACTTTAGTACGCGGAGCAATCTGTGGAGCTGGAAGCTGAGAACTGGCGACTGCGTAGTACAACTTTAGTACGCGGAGTCGCTGGGAAGCTGGAAGAGGAGAACTGGCCACGTGGTAGTACAACTTTAGTACGCAGAGTAGCTGGGGAGTGGGAAGATGAGAACTGGTGAGTGGGTAGTACAACTTGAGTACGCGGAGTATCTGGGGAGCTGGAGGATGAGAACTGGCGACTTTGTAGAACAACTTGAGTACTCTCTCCTCACCTGCAGCCCAAATGCTGACGACGATGAGCTGGGCTGTCACCGCTTGGCCGCCGGTGGGGGTTTGGGAGGCCGCATCACACACAGACACCCACACACTGCCTCAACTTACACGAACACACACAGACGCAGACTCATATACACACGGACATAGATACACGCACAGAAACCCACACACTACCTCAACTCACTCGACTTAACACTTCACACTGCACACTTAACAGATAACTCGCACTCTGACTTCCTACGTGATGAAAAATGCTTTCGGCCCACTCGTCGTCTAGTTGTCTTTTTTCAGAGTCTGGACGGACTGAGTTGTTACAGACTGTGCCACTTGTGCAAACATAGCGTTTTCACACAGTGCACACAATATTCTGGATATGAGATATGTCCATACTAGCCTCCAGCACAGGTGTTTTGAACTGGGGTGTGACAAGAACCTGCTGCCCTGCTTCTGCTCACTGTACAGGTGTGGCTTTCAGGGGAAAGCCGCGCCATGGAGTCCACAGCGTTTGAAAAATTGCACATGGAAATGCAAGGCAGCGGTGATGTTTTGGCAAATAGAACGATGCTTTTTCTCAGCCACTACTCCACGCACAGACGTTCTTGAACCTAGCTAAACATAGCTCGTGGATTGCCATGCCACGCGCAGACCCGGCGCAATGGGAAACCAGACAGAAGCAACCTTGTGACACTCAAGCGCTCGATAGAGATGCATTCCGTGAGTGTTTGAGGAAGCTAGTCCAGAAACAAGGTCGTATTACCCGTGTGGATAGTACTGAAGATGAGAAAGGCAAATCGTTTGTTGCGTGGGGCTACTGCACAGCGTGCAGCACAGGTTGCACCAGCAAGTGGCGTTTCAGGACTCTGGCCTCCGAAGAGCCACACATAGTCTGGGAATGTCAGGGTAAGTGTGCAGAAGAGCCAGCGGCAGAAGCTCGCAAAAGGCATTGTCAACGGCTGGTGCATTTGGCGCCTATGCAGGCCACCACAGAGAAGATTTTCTTTTCTGTTCTGCTCACAGTCTAGTCGAGTTGCTGAGCAACAGGTTTTTTTGGAAACATATATCGCACATATATATATATATATGTCTGTGCACGCATTGCAGTCTTGCATGGCCGACTGATTTTCCTGCGAGGCCAAAGCACAATGCATTAGCGAGAGCTTGCCCCCAGCCGAAATGCCTTCTTTGCATGATCTGCGCAAAGCGCGCAAGAACCAGCTGGCCAAGGACAATGGCAAGGATTTTTCTCTTGATGTCTCCGGTGACTGGCTGCGCTTCCTGCAAGACGCGCCAAACGACCATGAGTCGTTGGGGCCAGCGAAGTTTGTGTACCTTCCACTTAAGGGGGAGGCGCCCTGGCTACCGCTGGGTCTGGCGCTGGCTGACCCGCCAGTGCCTGTGGAAGGCTCGACCCTCATGGTCTCCAAGAACTTCTTAGATGTCACGAGGAAGTTGTTGGCTACGGGGCATAGGCAGACAAAGTCCGTCCTGTGCTGTGTTGACGCCACCTACAAGATCAGTGTAACAGGCTGGTGTGAAGTCGTCAGTGATGGTGTTTGTTTGGGGATTGCAGCAGTTTTCAACATCTAGGACATAGAACGAATTCCAAACATGCAATACGCCTTGTTTAATAAGGGTAGCGCAAATCGCCACGGAAATTTGGTCCAGGCTGGGCTGTCTTGGTCATTGGTCTGCCTAATAAACACGGATGCGATCGACAAGACAACAAAGTCCCGCGAAGTGAGCTAGTGCCCATTGCATTGGGTTGGCTGCCGACTGAGAGCAAGGCATCACTGATGTGTGCGATGATTACCTGTATGGACTACTACCAGACACATGGAATCGATTTGAGACAAAGCATCAGCGCTTTCATGGTCGACGGAGGGGTTGGAGCATTGTCGGCTTTAGCTCAGGCGTGAGAACCTCTGATTTGGTCGACACGCACACACACACACACCTAAAGTCTAACTGGACGACTTTCCATTGCTTTCCCTGGTAGGTCTTCCCGAAACTGCCCTTGCGGAGAGATTTGCGTCATATTCTTGTGAACTGCCGCGGATTGAGCCCAGACATTGCTCCAATGGTGTTCCGAACGTACTTGGCAGGGGAGGTGAACTTTGCGGCCTTCCTGCCAACACGCTTGAGCTTTCACTTGTTCTGGGAGCAAATCCTTGCAGAGCTGGCAGTCGCCAAAAGGTTCGCTCTCCTGACTTGGATCCGAACATGTCTCTTGAGTCTGCAGGATGGCATGTGGACGGCTGCGTGGCAAGGCGGCCTTTGCAGCTCATGCGTCCCTGGATACACTACTGCTTGCGGAAACCAAGGCTTGGAAAGATTCAACTTGTCTATGAAGCAAGGCTTGCCTGACAACTACTCTGCAATGAGCCTCACTACAGTGGCGCCCCGGCTCGAAGCCGCAGTGCGTACAGTCTTCTGCCACTTGTCTCACAGATGTTCTTTCAAGCTTGCGCACTCCTCTCCATTTGTCTTTCAGAGGATCCTTCCAGTTGCAACGCGCAAGTGCTCTCCTTGAAGCTGAGGTCAGAAAGCTTGGGTTCATGAAGAGTCCGAGGAGGTACGCGACTGGCAACCGGAGGCAGCTTATGCCCAACCTTGCCGCGAACTGCTCTTTGGCTCGCCTCTCCAATCTGACCGGCTCGCATGGGAGGACCCACGCAATACACACACGACCGTTTAGAAAAATGAATTCCAATTTCCTGCGGGTTTCTGACCAGAGTAACTTGCCTACCGCTGTTCTTTTTTTGCCATTCTTGCAGCCCACCCCAGAATGTCAAGAGAGTGGCAAGTCTAGATGTTTGGGCGATATGTTGGCTGTTTATCTTGCAAGCCAACAGTTATTGGTTAGAAGAATAGGTCTTCAGGAAGACCGCTCTGGCAACGTGATCCTTGGGTTTACATTCCTATTGAGCGCGCCGAGCGCAGGAAGACAGACAGAGAAAGCAACCGTCTGCTTTCAAGTTCTGGCAGCAGTGCCCTGCCAACTTCGTCGAGACACAGGAGCGTTGTGTCTGGAACGGGTGGAAAGCCAGTGGCTTCTTCACCTTCCACCAGGACTTGCCAAGCGAGGTCATCGACGGCGACACTCATGCTGCTTTCACTGCCTTACTCCGAGCGGAAGACCACGCGACGGCTTGGCAGGCGCTTGAGGCCTTGAGTTTACTGAAGAAAGACAACAGCTTTCCAGATGGACGCTTGAAGCTGGCAAACTTCAGAGCCTTGATGACGAATTTGTGCGTGGTGTTCCCGCTCGTGAAGAAGCAGTTTGGTGTGCAAGCAGTTTGCACATGCATCACCTTCATGAAGCTCGGTAGCTGCTGCCACGAACTCTTGGTGAGGTATTTCCAAGGTGACTCCGCCATCCGCATGGCGCCCATGTCTGCGATGACTTCTTCCTCAAGCGCGACCTTGTTGGAGACAGAAGATGAGCTGCGGACCTCCAAGCGGAAAGGGCGTCCACCCTCCTTGCCTTCCAGAAGCGCATGGCTGACTATGTCCAACTTGTGGAAACGTGTGGAGGCGCAGCGTGAGAAGAAACGAGAAGCCAAAAATGAGAAGCGGGAAGCAGCGTGGCTGCTGTTCAAGCATGGCGCGGATACAGAGGCGGAGCCTGTGCAGACTTTGCGGGGACAGGACACACGGTTGTTTCAAATAGTGATGCGCATGGATCAGGAAAACCGCTCCTTGAATGTTGGCTAGTCATGGTCCAGTTGAGCAACTTTTAAACAACTTCCTTCCTGGTCGCTCGGGGAGTCTGCTATTCACCATATAAACTAAACCCTGCAGGAGCGGGAACTCGTCTTGCTCAAGATCGCAGAGAAGCTCGCTGACGATGCCTTCAACGTTAGGTGCCTCGCATGGAGACCATCGAGTTGGATATTGAAAATCCCTGGAACTGTTTTCCACTTGGATGCTCTGCGTTTGTGTTTGCCAGTCGTCTTCTACACGGATGTAGGTTCTTGACTCATGGTGGCTGGTAGATCCTTGAACCTCTTCCAATGAAATTTCACGAATGAAGAACCTATATACATCTTTTTTCGCGTCACCTTTTTTCCAAGAGGCTAGAGATACGAGTGCCATCAAGGCTGTAAACGTGACATATGTCAGGAATGATTCGACTCGAGCAAAAATATACATTTACAAATATATATATATAAATATTGACGCATTGAAATTGATTGTTTGATTGGTTCGTTGATAGACAGTTAGAGAGATGGATATATAGGTGAACAGATAGATAGATGCCCCGAGCTCAAGGTTCGACGCAGTGGTGCAGTTGAGCCGCTGTGCCGTCAGCAAAGCGGAGGCCAAGAGCCTGAAGCTGCTGCACATGGTCCTGCCTCTCGCGTTCTCTTCTCTTCCCGCTGTCCTACCTTTCGTGTCTCCTTCCTCTCAAGTGACTTGGCGTCTTCTTCGAGTACCACGACTACTTTGTCTTCCCGGCTATGTGACCTTGGCGTCTTCTTCGGGTGCCACGACTACTTTGTCTGCACCGGCCATGTGTCTTGGCGTCTTCTTCGAGTACCCCGAGTACTTCGTCTGCATGGTCATGTGACCTTGGCATCTTCTTTGACTGCCGCGCCTGTGTCTGGGTAAGCTGGGGG